CATTTAGCCATTAAGAGCCCTCATGCCTGAGGCAAAGGTGAAGCAGAGCTCACAACCTGAACAGAAACATAAATTTGAACTAAAGTGTCTTCCATGTGTCAGACAGGAAACATTAAATGTAATTAACAACCCAGAGTCAAACCTGTAATCCCAGCTACTAAGGAGGCCGAGGTAAAGGGGTCTCAAGTTAAAAGATACTCTGGGCAATTTAATGAGACCCTGTCCTCAAATGAAAAGTAAAGAGAGGGCTGTGGGTGTGGCTCAGGGTAGAGCCCCTGCCTAGAATCCCCTCAGTGAGGGGCTGGGGGCCTGGCTCAGTGGTAGAGCCCCTGCCTAGAATCCCCCCAGTGAGGGGCTGGGGGCGTGGCTCAGTGGTAGAGCACTTGCTAGCATGTGCAAAGCCCTGGGTTTCATCCACAACATCCAAATAAATGCAGACAAAACAACAATAACAACAGCAACAGAAATCAAAGACCACCACATCACCCAACACACTGTGGCTCTCGACTGGCACAAGGTTCTAGAATGACCTCTGATGTTCTAGGCATGAATGGTGAGGGTGTGTAAGCTCCCTGGGGAGCTGAAGGATATGTACCTGAAGTAAACAAAGAGTGTTTAAATCCTTAGACATAGTCAGCATTCCCTCATTGCCCCGTAGGTGTCTTTGTTCACCCCTACCCCAAGTAGGGATCTAAGGCTGTGTCTCCAGTATGGAGTGACCCGGATCTGATCATTCTGCTTACCCCCTTCCCTGTTTTATCCAGTCCCGGGTGAATTTGGCTCTCAAACACAAGCAGATGGCACACAGGGGTAGTAACTTCTCAAGGACTGTATTATGGGGCGGCTGCGACCTCAGGCAGCAGGGCTATCTCGCCTCCTGGCTCTTGGGGCCACAGCAATCCCCAAGGTCAGGCGGGGTTGGACTCAGCACTGTGTGGAATTAGATGACCCGCCCTCAAGGCATCAACTGCACCTGTAAAAGAAACAGGAGTTCTCTACAGGGGTTGCCAGGGCACTGAACTGCAGTGGGTCCCAAGGTCTGAGGAGGGGCTTCAAGGCGCCAGGCTCAGCAGTTTGGGGTCTTGACCTGGGGAGGGGGGTTGGGGTTGGTGATTTTTGATGGGTTCTGCAGGGCTGGTTTGGGATGATTCTACAGTGGGATAGAGGATACCTGGGGTCTGTGGGTCTCGGGGACCCCCATCATTGGGTCTGGGAGGTCTGGAGGTGATTTCTGGGTTTGAGGCTGATCTAGATGGGGG